TATCCTCCCTCACACCCCACTCTCCTCCTCTTCACCCCCTCCCCCCGGGCTCTTTATCCTCCCTCACACCCCACTCTCCTCACCCCCGGGCTCTTTATCCCCCCTCACACCCCACTCTCCTCCTCCTCACCCTCCCCCGCCCCGGGCCCGGGCTCTTTATCCTCCCTCACACCCCACTCTCAGCGTTATATCGGTCTGCCTGTTTCACAACACATTACTAAGTTGTTTCCGCCGGGGCTCTGCCGGCACAGAGTATAATATTGATTGTCGCAATGTCGCGGGGACTAGACCCCGGGACAGAACAAAAGGCTTTTGGTCAACAGAGTGTCATGGCAAAACACTACAAGATAATAACTCGTTGTGCAAGGCCCTTTGTTGTCCGTTCTCTTAAATCTGTCTGCTGTCAAAACGATTATTATTATCATTTCGACCTTGCACTCACACAGAAAAAGAGAGAGAGAGAAATAGAGAAAGAGAGAGAGAGAGAGAGAGAGAGAGAGAGAGAGAGAAAGAGAGAGAGAGAGAGGTTGTACCCCTGAAACTTGGAGTAAAAGTTGATGAAAAACTAGAAAGCTGGGTACTTATCAAAGATTGTTTACTCCTGCTGATAAAAGAGTTATTAAAAGACTGTCTATATATAGAACATTAATAGCGCTAACAAAAGAAACAAGTAGATCAATTAAAAAAAGGAACACTTAATACTAACTTGACCTCTGCACATCCCTGTTTTCCACTCCGTGCTAGACCAACATGACATTATATTGTGCGAAAGACAATTTTAACTTAGCCTACATTAAAAAGAAGGAGCTCAAGTACACCATTACCTTTCCCTCCTTGCCCTTCATTTGGTTTCAATTAGAGTCAAGCAGTGCTCTCAATGGTTAACAAGAATTATGGCGCAGTGCACAGTCTTGGGGTATTATAATACAAACCTTTGTTTCGTTGCTTTACTCTACTCTTCATAGTCTTCTTTCACCATCAGAACTCATTTCAAATATAGAATAACATCAAGAGGCTAGCCCTGAATAGAAAAAGGTGGAAAGTGTTTGTTCGTGGCCTATACCTTGTTATAATGATGATGACTCATTTGAAGAGATGGGTTTTTGAAATGATGGTTTTGTGGCTATAAGTCTTGTAAGATTGTTATATATTACTATTACATGTATTATGTATCATTTTTTATTTTTTATGAACAGTGTTCCTGTTTTTGAATTTCATAAAGGCCCCATTGTGAGTGCGATGACCAACAAGTTTGGCTGTCGCCCGGTGGTCATTTTTGGGAGCTGTCTGTCAACGGCAGCGTTTGTCCTGTCCACTTTCTCTCCTAATGTGGACATGTTGATTGTTACCTACGGAGTGTTTGGAGGTAAGATCAGATGAAAATTTTGTCAGTGAAATTTTTTGCTGTTTGTGAAGTTTCACATTCAGTGGGCATAAAAGTGGGGCTACATTTCTCAAGGAACTAATTAAGATTTTAATAGGCTGTAATGGAAAGGTTAAGGGGAGCGGACAATTCTTGAACATCCATCAGCTACGAATAATCAGGTGATATATTAGCTTTTATTTTTGGTCTAAATGTTTATATACATACAACAGATAAGAAGACTTCTTGGAGGAAAAAAACAACTGGTTATGTCACATTTTAAGAAAATCATTTTGAGTATATACCCCAAGGGAGCTGGATGTACGAGTATGTCACATTATCTTCGTCTACAGGTTTTGGTCTGGGCATGATCTACCTTCCATCCATTGTCAGTGTGGGTTACTACTTCGAAAAGAAACGAGCCTTTGCCACAGGGCTTGCTGTGTGCGGCTCAGGGATAGGGACCTTCATGTTCCCACCACTTAGTGAGTTTCTCCTGGATGAGTATGCATGGCAAGGGGGACTGCTCATCATTGCTGGCATTATCTTCCAGGTGAGTATTTTTTGGTACCATTTTACTGCTGTACGCTGACAAATCGCCATTTTCTTATACACTGCAGTTTCGAGATAAAAGGTATTTAGTCAGCACAACCTTTTCAAAAACAAGGCGTTCTTCTAAAAATTGAATTCTAAATTATTTTTAAAGACTGGTTACAGTTTCACTTTGATTTTTTCACACGAGTGGAGTAACTGATCAGACTATCGATTTAACAAATAAGAAAAATTGGCGCCAAACATAAGAAAAAGGCATTTTGTCAGCTTTGGGCAGTAGATTTTATAACAATTCTTTTACACCCCAATCCATATGGTTTGAGTCTTGGAAGTCAAGGGCCTTAACCCTGCCTGTCAAGGACAACCTTGGCTAAAGGGAAATAACAACCCAGCAGATAGACAGAAATACTTGATAACATAACTTCCCTTGGGGAATTAGGACTCGTTTATGTTTACTAAGTTAGAAAAAAAAAAGAATTATTTCAAAACTGATTAAATATCATCCAAAATGCTATGTTCTTTAAGAGCTATCATTTTAACAAAGTCATTTTTTCTGTTCTCCTTGTCCCCCTGAAGGGTTGTATCTGCGGTGCCTTGATGAGACCTTTGGAAGCAAAGCCTGTGTGCAAGTCAAAGAAAGCAAAGAGCCTAGGTGCTGTCGACAGAGATAGGTTTGTACCTTCTTTCTGTTTGATTGTAAATGTTTTATGCCTCCATTGGCACTGTTAACCCCTTCATGACACAAGGTCACTTCGTGCTGCATCGGGCAAAGTTTTGGATCCCCAGGGGCACAGAGTAGTGCTTGATTTAGTGGTCAGTTTCCTATAATTAGACCTGGTTTTCAAATACTACTGACTATAACTGAAAGGAAAAATTCTCTTTCTATGGAATAAATATTCTTGAATGCAAATCAGCGATTAATTTTACGATTAATGCATCTTTTAGAAGCAGTATGCAGAATACAACGGCATTAATTTGTCATCATGGTCCTCGCACTTTGCAAAGCATGACGAATGCCGTGGGTCGCAGCGGCATCTTGGCTCCTTCGCCGTGTAAGAAAACATGATGATCAGCATACGTCATATAGGTCACAAAGAGGTTAAGATCTTTTAGAAGTCATGGTGCCAATAAGTACCAATCCAGACTGAGAGGGAGACAGCCTCCCAGAAGAAAGTAAAAGATGCTCAATGAAACAGATTTCACCATGGGGAATTTGAACTTATGTCTCTTGTATGTAGCGATGAAGAGTCAAACCATCACATCGTAGATGCTAGCCCTAGAGTCTGAATAGGGGAGCAAACGTGCCAACTTTAAAGTGACCGACATTGTATCTGATAGGGTGTTTTTATTCTTGACCTAAAAAATAAAAAGAAGAAAAGACAAGATGAAACTTAAATGAATGGGATGATGTCACTGATAGGAAAATTATCACTGATAGGTACTTGATATTTGTACCATCATACCCTTCACACATGCACGCTTCACGCAGGCTCACACACACGTATGCACACACAAACTCACACACACACACAGAGTAATAGTGAAAACTGTATTAAGTGTAAAAATAAAATCTAGGAGAAACAATATCTAATGAGCATGAAAAGACTTATTCATCAGCTACAAAGCAACAACAAAAAAAACCATAACTGTACCGAGTCTGTAGAATACAAACTGATATGGTATTGGAAAAGACAAACAATGTAACTGCTGTCCACTTAATAAATAATAATAATAATAAATAGCATTTGTATAGCGCACATCGCCGCTCAACAGCACGCTCTCTGGGCTTTACACTATATTATTACCCAGCAGACCATAGAACACTCCGAAACATTCTCAGCTTCCCGGGAAGCATACAGTGCAAGCAGCTGATTAAGCGCTCAAACACTAACAAACTGACAAGATCTTTCGCTGTCTATAGCTGGGTACCCATTCCCACCTGGGTGAAGTGAGGAAAATTCGTGTAAAGTGCCTTTTCCAAGGACACAACGTCGGGCCCCTGGCGGGATTCGAACCCACGTCCTTATGGTTGCGAGTCCGAGAGCCTAACCAATAGGCCACCGACGCCACTTGACATTTACTGAATTTTATTTTTCAGGGGGATGTCAGAGAGCAGCACTTTCACCAACTCTGTCGGTGACCCCAATAAAATCATGGAAGGTGTCATGGAAGCCAAACTCTTGAGGGAGAAAGGACTTCAAGACAACGACTCTGATCTAGGGTCTCTCCCGAGTATTGCTTTCATCAAACGAGGAGACAGCATCAGTGTCGCTGATCACAGACGACTGAGCAGCGGTATCCCCATCCCTGGCTCAGATGCTGCTCGTAAATACAAGCTGTCGGTAGGCAGCAGTTATGCCGACTCTGCAGGTTCCCCTGTGAGAGAAATTTCCGGACTCACAAACTCTCCCCCTGTGGAGTCGCCTGGGTCAGGAACTCCCAAGATTGTGTTGGACAAAGGCAAAGCAGAGTCTCAGATGACTTCATCAGGTACGTTTTATGTTTCAGTAAGTAAGTGTTTTACGGCACTTGCAACACAATAATATCATGTAAGTGCCAAAGATTAAAGGTATTACAAGAGAGTTTTTGATTGACTGAGTAGGTATTTTACAGCACCATCGACTCAATTTTGATCATGTAAGTGCCTTACAAGAGAGTAAAAAACACGAAAAGGAAGGAGGAAAGATAAGGACGATGTATCTTTGATAGTAAAAAGAGAGAGCAAACCACCTCACCAGAGCATGTGCCAACCACCAAAACATCAGTTACAATATATACAATATGTGAGGCATTGTGGTGAAATCAGGCACTCGTCAAAATAATGAAATAAAAAAACGGCCTATTTTTTGGCTGATGGGGAATTTTTTTCTTATGTTCTTTTTTTGGCTCAACACCATTTATGTCCTTTTGAAAAGACATTTTTATGCGGATTTTACTGGAACACATTGATTAAAGGCCTAAAAAATGTAAATTTTCAGTTTCCAAGGACTCTCAGGCTATGGAAGTTTCCAAACTGTGATGGCCATTTTCTCGCTAATTTTACCTCTGAAACCAGGCAGCCCTGACCTCCTTCAATCACAAATATTTTGACTTCCATTGTAGATAGAAGGATATTTTTTCACCAAAAGGAAGTCAGATGAAGAGGCTTTAAGATGATACCATAACCCCGTATACTTTAAAATTGATGAGCACCTGATTCCACCACGTTGTGACACGTTACATTTTTTTTATGTGAATACAAACTCCTTCTGTTTAGATATATTGAAATGTGACTCCATGCTGTTACCAAAATGTTGTTGACTGTTCAAATAAATAGACAAGTCGAGAAATTTCAATTAAAAAGAGGCTCACTGTCATGTTAGATGGTTGTTTAGTGATAAATAAAAGCAAAACAGAAACAAAAGAAGATATAGTTAGAAAGTAGGAGATAGGGGTGGGGGTGGGGGTGGGGGGTAAGGGGGGGCATAAATAGGCCCATTTCTCCCCACTGAGACTTGCAACCACTCAGATGGTAAAATGTCGCTCATGGACAAATATATATCTGCTCCAAGACCAAGATGAGAAAGTTTTTTATTCTGTTGACCAGCTGTTGAGATGTACAAATGTTATGCACTGTGGCTTAGACTTGTCCTCTCAGACTCTTGAAGAAAGGTAGCTCTTGGAGAGAGGGTATGAACGAAGCTCCTGTACTCAGTCAGTGTTGTCCATTTTTGGCTTGGACAGTTGTTGTGTAGAGATAAACAAGAGAGGAGGGATTGAAATATAGGCCAGTGTTGATGCTTGCAGTTTTTGGATCTCCCCACCAAAAAAAATTCCACAGAAATTTTATGGCAATAAAGGTTGTTGTTAAAGGGGATTATTATAGGAAAAATTATGTCTGTTACACAAGCTTATATTGCTGTTAGGCAGAAGTTGTTATTATCTGGGTTGTTGTTAAGTGGACATTATTGTATTATTATAGTAGATCTGTATCACACATGATTTCATCGTATTTTTTTTTTTTTACAGATGCGGACAGTGAAGTTAAAGTGATTGAAGCAGCTGATGCAGACAACTTAACTGATGGAACAAGCACTGAGAGATCTGACTATTTCACAGCTCCAGAATCTGACCCGAACAGCCCAACAAAAAGTGCAGCAGGCAGAAGTCTGAGCACTCCGTCCGACGAGAGTGAGAGTACTAAAGCCACGGTGGGCACGGGAGAGACAGTCTTAGAGAATGGGGATCTGAGTACCGGTACTCCTACTATCACCGAGAATGTCATCATCCCAAACAATGTGAGTGAAAAATAGATTGACCAGTGGGTTGTGTATGAAGTGCAGAAGAGAGGGAAGACAGGGAATAATATCAAGATACTGGCATTAGTAGAGAGGTGATATCCGGGCTCAGGGCAGCCATTTTGACTAAATTAGTTTAGGAATCCCCAGTTTGTAGGCCTAATTTAAAATCATCATCATATACTACATTTTACAAGGTGAAGTTTCAAGTTCGAAAAATAGATTTATTTGAAAAATAAGAATTAAAAATATAAAGTGGAGTTTGTTTTATTTTTGTTATTTTCAAGAAAAGGCTTTCCTTCTTACCCACACATGATGATGATTGTAAATTGCAAACTAGGGATTCCTAATCTGATTTCACCAAAATGGCTACCCTCTGCTGGGACATCACTACTCAACTAGTGCCAAGATATTAGCCCAGGATAGGGTAAGGTGGAAATTTTTTTATGGCATATACACTGATTCAGAATTCAGGGTTAGAAAGGCAATGATAAGTGGGTCTTGTGTGGTGGTGGTCATTGGGGGGGGGGGGAGCTTGAATAGGCCCTTTGCTGACCACTGAGAGTTGCAACCTCTCAGATGGTAAAAGGTCGCTTATATGGACAAGGATATCTGCACCAAGACCAAGATGAGCAAGTTTTATATTTGGTTGACCAGCTGTTCAGATGTACAAGGTCACCATTATTTTGAAAACAGAAATATCAAGTATAAAAAATGTCTCTGTCTGCTGGTTTGGTGCCTTTTTTATTCTTCTCCTTTGTGTGGTGTCAGCATCTGTTACTACCTCAAAAATGTCACTGCTTGAGACAGTATGCTTCAAGTTGCATTGATTTTTTTCTGTGAACAGCTATATGACTGTACTAGGACACCATTCATGAATACATTGACTTCTCCCAAAGGTGGAAATTTTTAACCCTCTCTGTTCCAAAATGAAAGTTCTCTTTTTTTTGTGTGCTTAGAACCATCGTAGATTTTAGTCTTAGATAAGTCATCCCGTTTGGTTTTTTTCCTCTGTCTCCACATGTCAGCTTTCTCTGCATTGCACCATCCCTTGCTTAACAGGTGGGTGCCTCTGGTAGGTCCTGCTTCTTTTCTTTCTCTTTGTTGTTTTTGTCTATATGTCTTGCTTCTTCCTTCTTGCACTAAATGATTGTTATTGTGCCGATGTGCTTCTCTTTACTCAGAATGTAAATGTTTCCCTTGCTTGTTTCCCCAGGTTGAATCTTCAAATAAAACTGAACAGAGCCAACCACAATCAAAGTCTCACAACACGAGTGAATTCGCTCCCCTTTTGGAAGTTCCCTCCCCTGTCATTCGCAATGGCAGTGTGAGCCAAACTGGTGGCTACGGTGGGAGCCGAACAAACATGTCGCATCTTCACAGCCTTCGTTCTCTTCACGTCTCAAAGAAAGACTTAGCTCGACCACTGTACCGCAAAGACATTTTTTACAGCGGAAGCGTTCTCAACATCCCACAATTCCATTCTCAGCCCGACATGAAAAGCTACATCACAAGCATCACCACAATTCCTGGCGAGATGGAATTTGTGGACGGCCCCAGTTCCTCATCAAAATGTGTCAACAAGTGCTGTGCTTGTTTGCCTCGCTCGGCGAGAGACGTTCTCAGCGAGATGGTTGATATTTCTCTCCTAAAAGACCCTAGCTTTATGCTCATTTGTCTGGGCAACTTTACAGCCTTCTTAGGCTTTTTTATCCCATTTGTATTCCTTGTTGACAGAGCTGTGTCTTTAGGGATCAACAAAAGTCAAGCTGCTTTCCTGATTTCCATCATTGGTATGTAACATTTTGTAGCTTAAAATCCCAGATTTGATTCATTTTATTTATTCGAAGTTAGCCAGATTTTCCCTTCATTGAGGGCAGAAGCTCCCATTGTGGCAATGGCAATTCTGCTTCCAGATGCTTGAAAAGGCTGTGAGAGATTTTATAAATTACTCTCTCTCTCTCTCTCTCTCTCTCTCTCTCTCTCTCTCTCTCTCTCTCTCTCTCTCTCTCTCTCTCTCTCTCCCCCTTTCCCAATCTCACTCTCTCACTCTTTCTCACTCTCTCTCTTTCTCTCACTCAACCCCTTTCCCAATCTCACTCTCTCACTCTTTCTCTCTCTTTTTCTCTCTCTCTCTGTCTCTCTCTCTCTCTTTCTCTCTCTCTCTCTCTCTCTCTCTCTCTCTCTCTCTCTCTCTCTCTCTCTCTCTCTCTCTCTCTCTCTCTCTCTCTGTCTCTCTCTCTCTCTCTCTCACTCTATCTCTCTCTCTCAATAAGTAACATTTTCAAGCAACAGGGTTTTTAAAAATGTACACAAGAATTCCTGTACATCGTTACTTTCCAAGGTTTTGCTCTGTCCTTGTGGTGTATGTGAGTGTAGGCTTAGTGTGTATATGTTCAGGCACATGCTTGTGTGTGTGTATGTGTGTGCATTCATTTGTTTGTGAATGTTTTTATATGTGTCTGTGAAGTGTGAGTGTTAGCAGGTTTTTGTGCTTGTGTTGATCTATTGTAAATTGTGAAGTCGTCGGTGCTCTGTTGGAACCTCGTTAACTCGAATTTTAGAATTTTACAGGCGAGACAAAAAAAAAACTGTCTACATTTGTTGATGTTAATGTTAACACGTAGGCCTTAAAGGTAATCAAATTTCTTCAATGTATTGTGATGAACCGCAGACAAAATCCTACGAAGAAGTTTGTGTTTTACTTGAGTGTATTATTACGCCTTCTGGGTTAGCGACAAAACATCCTTTGTTTAGGGTGGTTCTTTGTCTCAAGAGCTGCTCCATTTAGCCTTACTAAGGTGTTAATGAGTTTAGAACAGTGCAGTGTGTAGCTTTTGACAGCTGCAATCTAACCTAGCTATGTTTGGATTATTTTTTAATGCACATGTTTAACATGGTCTGGGTCATTTTATGATGGTTTGCTTGTGAACTACTCTAAAAGTATGATTAATACTTTTTGTGCAAGTGAAAATTACTTTGTCTCTCAACATATCAAGTGCAATTGATTAAATAAGTGACCAAGTAGAGGAGTTTAGCAAGGTTCACTGACCTGTGGGGGTCAACCACTGCTCTAATAGGACCTCACAATATTGTGTTAGTGAGGTTCAACGGATCACCTATATTGTTGTGTTGGATAGCAAGGTCAATGCAGAATTTAAAGTGCATTTTCAAGCATTTGTAGCTTGAATCTGGATTTAATGTTTATTTGCATTTGGTAGCAAAGTGTCAGGAATCTTTTGGTTTAAAAAAAAATGATTTTGCAAAAAATGGAGTTAAAAAGGTTCCAACAGAGCATCGGCAAAGTGTGCCTGTGTGCACAAGCCTGTATCTTCATGCAACATTATCACAGCAATAATGATTGTTGACGTGAGCCGAGGAGAGAGGGAGAAAGGGGGAGAGAGAGGGGAGGGAGAGAGAGAGATAGAGAGAGAGAGAGAGAGAGAGAGAGAGAGAGAGAGAGAGAGAGAGAGAGAGGGGCTGACAGACAGACAGACAGACAGACAGAGACAGGGGGAGGAGGGAGGAGGAAAAAATGGAAGAGAAGAACAGAAAAAGAACTTATTTTCAGGGGTTTTTTCTGTTTCTTTTCGTAACCTTAAGCAACATCTTCCATCCCTTCCTCAGGTGTGGGTGGTTGGCAGGTGCTCTTGTGGGGTCTGCTCCTTCTTTCCTACCAAACATCTATCACCCTGATCTCTTCTTCTTTTTTTGTGTTTGTTACTCTCTAGTAACATCTCTAATCTTTGGCGCTCATATAACCTTATTGTGTTGCAAGTGCCGTCAATCTCTTACAAAAACTAACAAAAATTACTATCGTCCTGATCTCTCTTCCTTCTTTTTTGAGATTGTTACTCTCTTGTAACACTTCTAATCTTCGGGACTTATATGACCTTATGGTGTTGCAAGTGCTGTTAAACTCTTACTAAAACGAAAACTTCCTCAGGTATTACAAACACCGTCGGCCGTGTGGCTGTGGGTAAGCTGGCTGATCTGAGAGTCATCGATAGTTTGGTCATCACCTACATGTCCATCATCGTCATTGGCCTGGTCACTGCTCTGGTTCCTTTCTGTGACACCTACGCACTTCTCGCTACTGCCTCTGCCGTTTTTGGGCTCGGAGTGGGTAAGTTTAGTTTTAGTAAAGTATTACGACGCTCTGCAACTGTATAAGACCATATGAGCACCAAGGGGTGGATGTCAACAAAGAAGTCCAAATGCGGAATCAGGCTTACTCTGCTCACCTCTCTAGCCTCAACAGCACAAAGGATACTTTGACTATCAAGGCACCTGATGACAAACATACAAAAGAAGTAAATGAAAAATAACAATAGTAAGGATGAGGAAAGAAAGAGCAGCAGTTCCCCCTGTGTTGTTCTGGCACGGTATGAGCATGATGATAATAAATCAGCCCATTTCATAACAGCGTGATAATAAAAATGATAATGATAATTATAATAGCATATAATGTGCATGTCCATGCTCCACAGCATGATCTGTATGGTTTACAACTATTATTACCCCATAGAAGACCCTAGAAGATAAAGAAACATTCTCAGCTTCCAAGGAAGCATATACTGCAACCAGCCTATTAAGAACTCAAACACTAACAAACTGACAAAATCTTTCAGTCTTTTAGAGGGGGGAGGGGGTTTACCTATTCCCACATAGAAAGTGAGGAAAGTTAATTTAAAGTACCTTTCCCAAAGACACATTGGGTCCCTGAAGGGATTCAAACCCATGACCTATCAGTTATGAACTTAACAGCCTATCATCCAGACCACAAATGTTACAATATATAGGCATGTATGTAACCTGTGTGTTTTCAATATTATTTTCTGTTTGATTTTAGTTTTTTAAAGTCCTTTACAATTTCACCCACATACATGCCAACACCCTTGATTTGACTAAAAGTATATTTTGGGGCAAAAATATGAGTCTTTTCCTGATGTTTGGTTTCATAATATTTAAACAGCAGTTTAACTTTGTTAAGTCTCAATTTTTTTTTATAGATCTACTCCTGATGGAAGCTCAGTCCCCAGATTACCAAGTCTTGGTTCATCAATAACTTCACACCTCTGATGTTTGAGTCATTTTTCAATTTTTCAATTTTAAAAAACAAACTTTTTTTTGGAGAATCATGGATCTGAATATTTGAAATCTTGAATATTTGTCTGTTTCCCCACTATGTTATTATTGTGTCAATAGTCATTGGCATAGAGAGAAAGAAAGAGAGAGAGAGAGAGAGAGAGAGAGAGAGAGAGAGAGAGAGAGAGAGACAGAGAGACAGAGACAGAGACAGAGACAGAGAGAGAGACAGAGAGAGACAGAAAGAGACAGAAAGTGACAGAGATAGACAGAGACAGAGAGACAGAGAGAAAGGGGGCAGAAGAGAAGGGGGGAGGAATAGATGAAAAGAAAAAGGAATGGAAAAAGGGAGTAAGAAAGGAAAAAAGAGAGGGAGATTGGGTTCACATGGAGGCAGTGGGTCTTTCACATTAAGAAAAATAGAATCAAACATATATTTAAAGTATGTGCAAATGTCACTTATATCGAGGCAAAACATTTGTGTTTTATAAATACTTAATATTATTATACAAAATTATTATAATATCTTTGTTTTTCTTTCTATATGCAAATGTTGCTCATACCAAGGCTAAAAATCTTTGTTTTATAGTAGGCCCTATGATAAAACTTGTTCGTTTGAATTGCTTTTGATTGAAGAATTATCCATTCATCTTGAGTACATGTCGAGATATTGTGAATGAATTAGGTGGGGTCACCTGGTTTCAGAGGTAAAATAAGTGAGAAAATTGCTGCCAAAGTTTGGTTATTTACAAAGCCTCAGAGTCTGTGGAAACTGACAATTTACTCTTTTTATGCCTTTAATCAACAATTTTTCAATATAATTCATACTGAAATGGGTTCTTAAATGGACATAGAAGGTGTTAAGCTAAAAAACACAATGTCGATAAAAATTGCCTAACCAGCGGAAAAGTGGACGTTTTTTTACTTTCATTATTTTGACGAGCGCCTGATTTCACCATGCTGCCTCACATAATATATGTTTTTCTTTCTATGTCCAAATGTTCCTTATATCGAGGTAAAAATCTTTATTTTATAGGCTTATATAGGCCTACCGAACATTATGCAGTTATTATATCTATGTGATTTTCTTTCCATGTGCAATAAATGTTACTTATGGAGGCAAAATATATATTATAGGCCCTATATACCTACTTTTTTTGGCAAAATGAATGTAATATATCAATATGTTTTTCTTTCTATTGCAGCTGCCTTTATTTCACTTTCATCTATCATCATCTGTGACCGCATGGGTCTGGAGAAACTGACCAATGCATTTGGCCTGATGTCCATGGTCAGAGGGATATCTGGCATGATTGGTCCACCCTTTGCAGGTAAGTCTGTCCCTGCACTTTCATCATTAGCTTAGTTTGTTTTGAATTCATGTTGAACCTTGCTGTTTCTCTCTACTCTCTGTCTCTCTCTCTCTGTCGTCTCTCTCTCTCTCTCTGTCTATCTCTCCCTCTCTGTCTCTCTCTCCCTCTCTGTCTCTTTGTCCTTCTCTAGCCCTCCCTGTGTTTGTCTGTCAGTCAGTCAGTCAGTCAGTCAGTCAGTCAGTCAGTCAGTCGGTCAGTCAGTCAGTCAGTCAGTCAGTCAGTCAGTCAGTCAGTCAGTCAGTCAGTC